TTTAATAAATTAGTTATTTTTTTACTTTTTTAATGACTTAAACTGTAGCTTAAATGACAGTAGAATCAAATCAGATAATGATAAGCCAAGACATAATTTCCTGATCAAATAGTATTTGTCAACCTGGATACATACGTGCAGCTTGATACTGCCCTATTTTTATAGTCGATCTACTTCTCAAAAGGTAAAGATTTTAATATATAATGAAGCTACTTCTTTGACAATACCATTACATTGTATTGGAAACCAATAACAAATCAATACTTCTTGAAATGGAACATAATAATCTAACTATAGATGTTTTGTGCCGATAGCTAGATCGTAATCAAATAAATAATGACAAATTCATATTTGCTGCCTTATTGCGCGTAATTTATGAATTAGTTCAATGATTTTTAATAATAACAATAATAATTGATGCATAAAAGATTGATGTACATACTTTACCTTTTAACGTAACTCTAACAACTATAGATAGCCCCACTCACTGATTGCCAGGCAGCATCAGGTGACATCAAAACTGATGATGGATTGTCCTGAAAAGTTTAACTATCTTGGCTAAAACAATCAGAAACAGAACATGCGGGTTCCTAGTAGGTCATCTTGCTAGGTGGATATGTGGACTTGGAGAAATACTCTAAGTCCACGAATGGGCATAATATATCTCTTGATCGCAGTGCATATTTTCCGTAAAATTTTTATAAATTTTTTATATATTTTATATTCATCCATATATATTGAATATTGAATATTTATTTTTAAAATCAATTCTATGAAAATTGAATGATTTTAATTAATAATGAACGGTGAAAATAGAAATAGTTGAATAAATTTTATATATTTGCTTTGCAAACTACAGCGGACTACTAACTTCGTCGAAAAAAAATTAAATAAAAAATAAAAAAGTTTATGCAATTAAAGTTTTAATAAAATATCAACAAAAATTTTTCAAATTCATAAATATTTACTACAAAAAAAATGTTAATTGTTTTTGCAAATATTAAATTTTAATTCAGTAAATATTAATAATTTTTATTTATTTAATCTACTGATTGTTTTAGCATCAAAATAGTTTTTATATAAAATAATTTGCATACATCGTAAATAAGGATAACTGAGTATTTGCCGTTGCCAGGATACAGAAATCCATACATAAATCTGAAACATAATTGGGCTTTGATTGCTTAGCATTCAATTTATCCTGTGGTTATCATATTTTGGCATATTTGATTTAAAAATTAAATTATATAATTTGATTTTGAAATTTTTTAACTCATTTTTTAGTAATAATATAATATAAATGGCTATATATATATATATTGAAATTATACTTTTCTTTTGATGTCGCATTATATTTTATGACTTTGAAATACAAAATCAAATATTCTTCAATATCATTGAGGTTATAAAAATTTTACGATATAATTTTCGTAACTCTTTGCGCAATCCTCCTCCTAAGTTCGACACACATCTTAATCTTTTCCAATAAATAAGATATTAAATACAACGTCTTGATATTTCTATGTCAATAAACTTCACTGAAATGTCAATATTTCACAAGCAATAAAGGAAAATTTTGTATTTTCCTTCATCATTTTTGGTATTTTCATCACGTATTGGTACAGAAACTTTTCTGAATTTTTTGATTGTGAAGTTAAGCTGCTGACTCTATAAAACTGCAGATTTATGTTACTAACGTGTTTGAATGTTCGAAATTTAATATAACTTTAAAACTATCATTATGTGTATTCATAAAATGTTGTTATATTTTAATTTGAATTTTTAAAAAAAAAATTTTCGAAATTCCTTAAATGGGAGTAATGAGTATTATATACTTAATCGTACCAATGGCTCCACAATATAGAAACTTAACTTTTAATCAAAATTTTGTTGTTGTTTCTTCATTACTGTTCGAGCTCTTCTAGTTTCTTTTCATCATAAGACGCACCACAAAAAGATCTAAAGAATACAATAGCAACCGTAATAAAGCAGTGTGAAAAATTAAATAGAATATATTTCAGGGCACTTGCCTTCCGTGTCCGTAAAGAGATACTCTGCAATTCTATAGCATATTATAAATAGTATATGGTATGGTCACAGGATAAGTAGACGAGCCCCCCATATACAACATAATCGTTTACATATGAAGCACATAGCCTACATAATCAAAAACTAAACAACTATTACGAATTTATCGTACTCTCCTGATTAGGTTCCGGCTTTCAGACATTTTTTGTTTGCCAACACTTAAATCCCCATTTCAAGGAACCCATTTTCAGTCGGTAGATAACATAAAAGAGAACTGACTGCGAGTACTATTACGAATTTACCGTACTCTCCTGATTAGGTTCCGGCTTTCAGACATTTTTGTTTTGCCAAAACTTAAATCACCATTTCAGGAAACCCATTTTCAATCGGTAGATAACATAAAAGAGAACTCACTGCGAGTACTGAAGTCGATTCCAAAAAATTTATTTGAAATATGTCTATGGCTTAGAGAATGGGTTTTTCATTTACGTGAGTATATTATTTCGGAACTGGCCTACTTTGAAGGCGCTACAATAAATTTTGATGAAAGGATTTTGATGAATCCTGGTACATTATTGATGCGGTAATATGTGATGAAAATTTATTTAAAGGTCGCAGGAAGTATGAATTATTGGTAATTAATTTTGAATAAAATGACGATACAAATATAAACAAAATCAAATTAAATTAAAATTAATTAATTAAAATGAAATAATTTAAAATTAAATTAAATTACATATAAAAAATGAAAAACCAAAATTTATTTTAATAATTTTTTTTTGATTTCAACTGAATTACATGAATTTTTTCGGAAAATTGTAGAAATAATTTTAAATTTTATTTTGTTATGAGTTTTGTGGTCAAAAACGGATACGCTTTTCCTTGATGAAGTACTTTTAAGTGAAAATTATTGTGGTTTTCCGTTTAACGCTTCCACTTTATATTTTTTAACTAAAAAATCTGACATTTTACCACAAAATTCGTGACAACAATTTATCAACACTTTTAATAATTTCTGGTGCTGCTTTCAGCATGGCGACAATTTCCACAGACGCAGATTGTGAAAATCTCGAGGAACCAGTGGCGCACCCACATAAAATTTTGTGTAAACATTTGAAGTTAATTAGCACCAGAGGAAGTTTCTCTTTATGAGGAGATTAAAATCAAAATTTTGGATTACTTTTACAAATTTATTTATTAGCAAAAAGAGACTAAAAACTCTACATGTTCCAAAGTACTCCATAGGGTACCCTTTTTGTGTTCAAATCCATTATGTACCTACATAAAGGGGTATTGTTCATAAAAGAGGATTTCCAAGCAAATCATTTTGAACTTTTGGCATATAAATTTAATTTAAGAACTAAAACAGCAAATTATTCAAGCTTGGGAAAGATGAAATTTTTTATGAAGTATCTTTATCTTGCATGACTTATGAAAATTTTATTATTTTAAAAACTGGGTAAGTCATTCTAGGAAAAATTTTGCATACAATGTAGAAATATTTTTTGTTGCTCACTTTTTAAGCAATATTTACACATATATATGAATTCCAATTAATTTAAGGAAACTCTTTATTAAATAAAACTTGTTATTTGAACAGATTTTAATGTTTATTGTTAAATATAAGCAAAACAATGTAATTTTTAGTTTAATTTGGAAAATATGCGTTAATCTTCTTTTTGGGATAATATTGTATTATAAAAAAAATATATCCTTTTATAAAATAACGAATATTCGTAAACTGGATTATATCAGAAGAGCTGAGATATTTCTACAAATATTTTGATACGTCCTTTGTAGTAGGTGGTCGCGAGTTTCTCAGTGCATTCTTCTTATTGTCATATTGTAAGTGAACCCCAACAATTTTATGACTTCCGCAGTACTATTTTTATGTAACAAATAAAAGATAAAAATAATACAAAAATAATAACTTATTAAATTAAAAAACACTTTCAAAACACATATAAAATGCATATCCTTATTTATTTAAAATGCAATTAAAATGATCTAATACAAATCACTGTATGGATTGGGGACCGCAGAAACAAATACATAGGTACGTTCATAATTGTTTTCGATAAATATTAAAATACGGTGATAATATTAAATTTAGTTTTATTAATTTATCAATTTAAATTCATTTATTTGGTATACTAAAAAAATAAAATAATGTGGTTTTACCAGTACACCAAAAGAAAATTTGAGTTATTGTAGTAGAATAAAAACATGTCGCGGGCCGCATGTGGATCGAAACTTAGGCTCACTGTAGCAATACTGGTATTCCTTACAGTAACAAAAAATTATAATTGTATTCAAAAAATGTTAAAAATAGTATTTTTAATAGCACAATAGCACGGAGTATAAAGAGTTATGAGTAAATATATGTTTAGCTGTTTTGGACTTTTTTTGACTAGTAGTTTCTACTATAATCGACCGCACATCTAATAATTATTTGTAACCTTACTATAGAAGAGGTTCTTTTAAAAATTTGAAATCTTTGCCGTTCTTTACATTAAATAATTTTATGACAAGGTGTTCAAGACAAGATATGACAAATGTACTCTATATGATTCCATATCTATATCATATACCAAATGTTATTACTGCAATATTAAGCAATGGTTCTTTCATTTTCCAAACAAATAAGTTTCTTCTCAATATTTTTCCACAATATAATATTACATGCAAAACAAACTGAATTTTGTTGAATCTTTTATAATCAATCGATATAAGATAGAATGTTTCTCATCTACAATATTCAAATTGCATATCTAACTAAATACAATGTAAACTTTTCCAAAATATTTTAATAAAATATACGTAAATAATAGTTAAACAAATATCACTTATACAGTTTAAAATTTTGTTTGATTTTAGTCTTGTCTCAGAGGCACATTATCTTTAGCATTCTCAGAAGTGCATACATATATTGGTACATTTAAAATCTTTTCAATAATATGCTGATCTATAATTTAAGACTCTTTAGGTCGCTCATCTGATTCCCCAAAATTCGTTTCATATTCTAGTTTGTATTCGTTTTTCACTAGAGTTTTAGTCTTAACTTCCATGCCATCTTTGAATACTGTAACTTCTTTTTCAACAATTTTATCACCGGGAATACTACCGCTGTGTCGCAAGTCTTGGATGGCATTAACTGTTGCATTTATAAATTTTTCGATGTTGAATTTTGCTGTCTGATTTTCTGAATTATTGAAATTTCGTTGAAAATTATTTATTTTAACAGTTTCAGATTTTATCTTTTCAGTTGGTACCTTATTCATTATCGTCGGTATTTCTTCATGCATTTTAAAACCATTTGATTGCAATTTGGCTGAACCCTGTTTACTCTGTTCATAATCTTCCCCAGAATTAAACTCTCTACGTGTTGCCTTATTAATCTGTTTCGGTATTTCTTCATTCTTCTTTAAACCGTTTGAGATTAATTTGACTGTAACCTGTTCATTTTTATCAGATTTTTCAACAATTTTAGTCTTTTCATTTTCTGTCATATCAATCTGTTTCGAGTTTACTTCATTTTTATTAAATCCATCAGAAACTACCTTAGCTGCAATATGTTCATTCTGGTTATAATTTTCATGAGATGCAACCTCTTCAATTGCAACCTTATTCATCATTTTCGATATTGTCACGTGTTCCTTTATGCAATTTGAGTTATGTTTGGATTCAGCATGCTCACTGAGTTCATAATTTTCATCCGTTTTTATTTTTTCACTTAACTGTTCATTTATCTCATTTGGAATTTCCTCAATTTTGTTAAATCCTTTTGAGTCTTGCTTAAACTTGGCTAAAATCTTATTCTCCTGTAAACCATTTGATAACTGATTGGCTACAACCTCTTCTATATACCCATCATTCTCATAAAATTTAGCTTTTTTGCTTGCTGTCTCATTATTCAGCTTTGATGTATCCTTATTACACATTAAGCTACATGAGATAGGTTTGACTGCATCCTGTGTACTATGTTTATGATTTTCAAAATACTTGATCTCCTCACTTGCTGCATCATCCTTAATCAGTATCGGTATCTGTGTATTATTCTTTAAGCCATTTGAAACTAGTTGCACTACATTCTGTTCACACTTTTCATCAGATTTAAGCTCTTTATACCCTACCGTATTTTTCACCTGCGATATTTCTTCACACCCCTTTAATTCATTGCAGTCCAGTTCAGTTTTAATCTTTTCACTCTGTTCATAACTTTCATCAGATTCAATCTCTTTACATGCTGCCACATTTTCCACTTTCGGCATTTCCCCACACTTTTTTAAGCCATTTGACACCAGTTTGGCTGCAATCTCTTCACTCGCTTCATCATTTTCTGTAGCATTAACTTTATCGATCGTCTCCAACTGCACACAGATGTTATTAGCAGTAAAATTTCTGATCTCATCTTGCTTAGATGTGTTTAAATCTTTGGCATCAGGTCTGCAGAAAATTACAGATTTTACTGAAGACTTTGTATTTTCTGATTTAGACGTATGCTTTAAAATAATTTTCTTAACATTAGAAACCATTCCTTTTGCATTGTCTTCTTTTATTTGAGGAATTTTATTAGAACGAGGAATAATTGGATTATCTGTATAAGATTTTCTCATAGCTAAATTGGCTTTCTGTTTTATCTTTTTAAAGTTGGTGGGCAAAACCATACTAGATGCAACATTGCTCTTCACTGTTTTTTTGATTTGGTTATTCACATTAACTTTGGTTACATTGTGACCCTTTAGGTAATTTGGATATCGAGGATGCTTGATGATTTCATCAGGGACTTGATCATGAGATTTTGCAACTTTCTTATTGACTAGAAAATTGGGGTCATTATAATGTCGAAGATAATTGGGATAACGTGGGATAACAGTCTTTAAACTGTTCAGTTCGCCCTGCTTTGATTGACTTCCATCTTTAGTAAACTTATTTGCTTTTACTCTGTTCGATGCCAGGGTATCATTTTTGTTATTTTGACTTAAATAATTTTTACAACGCGGTGTTATTTGTAGTTTGTTTTTAACGGTACTTTTTTCGAATTTAGGGGTCTCTGTACTGCCGCAATTCTGTACTACTGTTGTGTTATTTGATTCCTGCGCATTGTTTTTGTCTTCCTTTCCTACAACATTTTTTTCATTCTTCTTTTTTGCTTCATATTCTACTTCAGTTTCATTTTTATAATTGGAAATAGTTAAGTCTTGCTCTCTATCGTTTTTATTTGAGCATTCAATGCCGGAAGAAGAATTTTCAACGCCGTCACTGTTGGTAAGAATAGTATCGCTGAAATCAATTAACCAGTCGCTATCCATATCAGAGCAATATTCATGAGGAATTGTATTTTTCTCAATATTCTCAGCTTCCATCAGATTCTGATTCACACATTGGTTTTGAGATAAGTTCGTGAGTGTGTAATTTGGATAATGTGCGTTATTTATAACTTTATTTCCATCAATCATATCCTCGTAACTACTATCGTTTCTAAGACTAATGTCTGTTTCCGAATCAAATATATTTTGCGGTTCTATAAATTTTTTATTTACATATAATGTATTTAGTTTACTTGCACTGTCATTATTCTGAATTTCTTCAACTTTGCTCAGTATAATAATGTAGTCATTTGGAGTTGTATTCTGAGTAGCATTTGCTTCAAAGGATACCATTTCATTATGTTCTGTCTGCAAAGACATAGACAATATTTCATTCTTTTCATTTGTGTTAAAGTTTGTTATGTATCCTGTAAAGGTTTTCATATATTTCTTGTCTAAATTAAGAGTTTTTTTCTCGGAAGCGTTTTTTAAATTATGCAAATATATTTGATTCATAATGTCCACGTATTGCTTTTCCGTATAAGTGGGATGGATGGGCTCTTTCAAATCACATTCTTGAGAACATGCACCGTGACGTGCCCTATTAGTGACAGACTTTTTCATTCTCATTTCCCACAATTGTCTCTGTATGTTGTCCAAAGTTGCATAATCAAACTGAAATTGTCCGCCTTCGTTATCAAGACATTGTGGCTTTCGAGCTGTAGTATGTGCCAGTGGGGAGTCATTATACTGTAAATCTTAATGCAATAGAAATATGTATTTATTACATAAATGGGGCCTTTAGGAATGAATAAAGTAATTAAAATATTTGCTTACTGTCATCTTTAAGAGTTTTAGGATATAGCGCATCTTTCCTTGTAGCAAACTCTTCAATCCCAAATTGCTGAGTATTAGAAGAAAACAATTCTAATTCTGCTTTTTTCGTATCACGTAACGCTTGTTGTGTATCCTATAAAGCAAAAGTCGTTATCAAAGACGATATTTTGTTGAAACTAATAAAATTTTTGTTTTTGTTTCATTAAAGTGGAACTTCTTCATATCTAATTATTGTAACACATTTATAAAATGGATTACATTAAAATTATGAACCCATTCAATTATAAATTTTTCGACTTACTTTAAGCAAAGCAGTATTAATTTCTCGAATGATTTTCGATCTCAAATTAGACAAGTGAATTTGGTTATCTTCAGATAATTCAAACATATCGTCCATATTGGTACTTTATTGAATTTTCTAAAATTTTATACTTTCTTGAAATTCTAAGTTTGACGATGACGCCGTTTTGAAAACGCACAGATAAATGGATGTCAAAATATGCGAATGATTTTAATTTATTTTTTTTTTAATCTATTCCCTTTTTGAAACTCACTTTTTCAAAAACATATACATATATTGAGCAAAATAATTTAATATTTCGACAATTTATTTAAAACAAGGCATTCTATGTTTTTCTTTTATATTAAATAAATTTTCAAATTAATATAATATTTTACAATGCACACTTAATTATAATATCAAAATTAATGCACTTTCAAATCATGGTAACCTAAATATCTCTGTACCTATCACAATCTTATATACGTATTTTAAAACACCGTCATTGTTCTCGTACTTCTTGAGCATTTGTGCACCAAACGATACGAGCATCTTTTTAAGATTTTGTCAAATTATGTTGATTCCAACAAGAGCAAACCTTTCTCACAGTTAAATGCTAGCGCAATATTTTATATATGCTGGTTAAACTAAAGCCTAAGGTTCCCTCAATCTCACAGGGAATCGGGAACAGAGAACAAAAACTGATTTCACTGAAATTCGTGAATTTCATCAGTGAGCGAACTGCGGCCACGATTAAAATCATTGTACCAGCGTTTCACAGAGGCTAAGGATGGAGCTTTATCGGTAGGTTATGTGTAATAATGTCAAGCTTTCATATGGAAACGTCAGATGACACCTGATAACAATCAGTGTTACCAAGGCTCAAAATATAAATAGTGGGCCTCGTATTCTCGTTTATGAAATGGTCGATATGGTAGCAAGTTTGTTATTATTTCGAAAAGCCGAGCTTAATCAATTTATGTTATGTATGAAAATCGCTATATATATTATATGCTCAAATTTATGTCGATTTTTACAATAGAATAACGACAAAATGAGTATAGAAAAAGATAAAATGCATCTTTTTGTCTTAATATAATTATAACATCATTACTAGCAACTAATGTTTAAGAATACAATAATTTTTGATATGAAATAATACATGTTAGTTTCCAAATTTATTAAATAGATAAACATAAACTCTGTATTATAAGATATTAATTAAAATTTTAATTTCAACTACAATTTTTTCAGTTATATGGTACTCACGGATTTCCCAGCTTATGATTGTCGTATATATGTAATTCAGAAATAATATACTATGTACATTCCGTAAGAAAGGTCCGCATAGAGATTAAATATAAATTTTAGCTTTTAATAGTAATTTATTTATAAAAATTTTTACCTATGTTTAAATAAGGTTTTATGCAATTTCATTTACACCATAATTACAGCTTGGTTACATAGCATTGCAGCTATATATTCCTTTAAACTACATTTATGCAATTTTCTCTGAGGTTTTAATACTGTTTCAATGTAACCTAGAATGCTTTTTATAGAGAAAGTTTGTGTAATGCACTGTAAAAAATAATTAAGCATGTTAACAGGTACGTAAATGTCAATTACTCAGACCGTCAAGAAATTAGAGAAGTTTCAGTAAAAATATATATAATGGTCTTTACCATTAATACTTGTGTTGCATTGACTGCAGTGCAAGTGGGTGAGGGGAGTTAAAAATGCAATAACATTCACAACTCCCAGATCCTTAAAAGTAATTTGCAGATTACAACACGCAAGGAGAAAGTATATAAGTAACTTATATTTATTTGAATTTTATTGATTTTAATTAATAAGTACATTTAAATTAAACCAGCTTATTAAGGTACTGCATATTTCTTAAGAAGTTTGATAACAATCAAATAAACTTAATATTCTTTGCAATTTTTTTTAATTCAAATTACTCATACAATAGTAATAACAAATTTAAGATGTTTTTTTTAATAATTTTAAGAAAATAATTTAATTATTAATTTAAGGCAATAACATTTGATTATTGATTTGATCTTGATATAATGGTTTATTATATTAGTACAATACTATATTGTATATTATTAAAAATTCAATTTTTTTCATGAAGTATATGATAACATATATATAATTTAATTAATTTAATATGTCTTTACCAATACTTCAAATCCTAACACTTCCATGTCAAATTTCATTTTAATTGAATAATTATAACTATTTACTGTTTACCCATGACATGTCAATGTCAGATTCATAATGGCATGTGTCATTTGCTTAAGAATCATATTCTTGTTTGAACTGACTTGGATTGATTAAAAAAGGTCATCAGATCATTAGTCGTCATGCATATCACATATATAATATGTACTTATGAAATATACGTACTTGTGTATATATTTTGAACTTTGACTTTTACTTTATACTAACTATAATAAAACAAACTATTGATTTGCACACAATAAATTTAAGTAAATTTTTGTACTCATAAATGTCATTTTCATATTTTTGATAGAAATATTTTATGCAATATCAGTATGATGCAATATATCACAAATACAGGACTTGACTATATCACAAATTGTGGACTTCACTTTTCTTGGCTCCAATCTAGAATATTCTAATATTTCCGGAATAAAAGATAAGGGTTATTGTAGGATGAGCGCATTAATTAAATTATCATTGTAACAGTTTGTGACGAGATATGACAAATTAAGAATAATGTTTGAATATTAGTATTGTTTTTTTAATAAACTTTATAAGAGTATTTAAAAAAACCTGTTTCAAACTACAATATTTCTCATAACACTCAGCTTAGTGGTAAACAGAAGGCACAAGTGGCAGATGTCAGTCTCGTAAAAATGACTATTTACTTAGACTATGAAAAGACTCTCTCAGTTTTAACTTGAATCAATGATATCCTAATTTCCACAAAGAAACGAATGTATTTTTTGTATAAAATTGGCAATGTGTTTTATGCCTACACTAGTGATATGGGACAGACCCATAGAAAAGAGAGATTCTGGAATGGACAATATACCTTCTGTACATTTTCTTCTTCTTCTCTGATACAAAACTTCTTCTCTCCTTGAAAGTAAGCCCTATTCGGTTACAAGTTCTGCCTATAAGACAGTGATAATAGTTGACGAAACAAACAAACTAGTTGCTATGTTTTTTTTTTAATTGCAAGCAACCCATATCATATGTATAGAGTAACTTACATCCTTTTCGTATTGTCTTCACAACAACATTTCAAAGTTTTCTGTTCGTGTGGTCAGTTTAATGACATATCCACGTCTAATGATTTTATGAGAGTTGAACGTAAAAGTTTATTAGGATAAAATATATAAATTTTTTTACAACGTATTACATAAAGGATGTTCGATTATTAACATGAATTTTATTTATTTAAAAGTGGAAAACAGATGATGTTATATTAAATATTTCAATGATTTAACACCGCCGTGGCGTATTATAATTTATAGTTTATATTTTAAAAAATGAGAAACAAAACTAATTTTGTAACTTTTTTCTTGATAAAAGTTATATTTATTCATGTATTTTATTTATTTATGTATTTTATTTATTTCTTTAACGTATATGACTTTAAGCTTTTATATTATAAAATATATGATATGTACATAGAAAGACATAATACTCAGTTTATGTATTTTTATATACGTTTGGCGAACATAAAGATTTTTTTCTTGATTTATGTGATCATACATTTGTGCAAAATAGTAAAAATTAATATTCATGTACTTTTGTAGTCCTTATCCGTAACACATAACGACGACAGAAGGCTCCTTGGCAACATAAAGTTAATCTGCATGTAATAAAAATTTCTTGTTGTCGCCTTTTAGGCGCGTATTCCGTACGAAAACGACTTGCTTGTTATTTCACTTTTATTGCCTTATGCCAACCACCATTTTATCAACGATATCAACGATTGCTTTTTAATTTCTGTTGGACAACGAAAGATTTATAAATTAAATCTGTGAATTATTGTTATCGCCAAGGGACTATCATACTTCCTTTTGTAATTTTTGCGCAAAAGTAAATTCGCCAAGTATACATTTCGTAGCTGTTTGTGTTGCGTTGCTATGGGTCGGTTCTCATTGGCTCATATTCAATTTGCATAATGGCCATTAAGTGAAAATTAAATGATAGGCAAAAAATAAGGAGCAAAATGTCTGAGTTTTTAATGTTAAAATTTTGCTTTACTCAGCATTGTCAAGTCATCAACAAGTCCACACAAATGATTTATCATTTTTGGTAACAAATTTAATAAATCTACAGCTTAGTTAATAATTCGTTGTTCTCTGCAACAGCATCACAGCTTAATTAAGTATAATGATATAAGCTGGCTCTAAGTAGCTCTAAACTGTTTTCACACCAGTAAGTCAAATGTATAAATCCTTTTTACTGCTCTGGCCTGCGGCAACAGCAATGTCGGCTAAGTTTTATATAAATTATTGTACGGCTCGATGGTGTATTTTTGCGTTCTCACACATTATTGCCTGGTTATACCCTAGAGTCTATGTAAGCCTTTTTTGCTACGCTTAAACTTTTTGCTTAAATGCATCGCAGTTATGGCCAGTTATACTGCTGGTTTCTTGCGTTTGAGATTCAAAGTTGTGCTAATTAAGCTGTTGTTGTGTTCTCGTTCACTATGGCATAAACGTGCCTAACCTAAGTGGCGTCTAGTTTAACATTTAGTACAATCCTTCCTACAATGCAATTGTGGGTTTGTGCTATTCTAGCAAATGCTGCTGTTTATTGTTACTAAATTAAATTTAAGTTTATCTGATGGTGGAATTCAACCGTTTTAATTGCTTTCAAAATTATGCTCTTTATCATTTCTGTGTAGAAACAAAAAATTTTTAATTAAAATTTTATTGGCTTTAATGGAAAGTTGTAAATTGATAATGAACTCTATTCAAATTGTCTAATAAAAATAAATATTGAAACATATGAGAGAAATTAGTATTTACACAAAATAAGTTTTAAATGAATTTAAATGCGGAAATTTACACTTTTATGTAAAAAAGGAAAATAATAGTGGAGTCAACTGTATAAAACTGTGGCCACCG